AGCTTTATCAATGGATAGTTATACCACACCAACACAGCTTTAACCATGCTTATGTTTCAATGTATCAGCTTTATCAAGGGATAGTTATATCACACCAACACAGCTTTAACCATGCTTATGTTTCAATGTATCAGCTTTATCAAGGAATAGTTATATCACACCAACCCAGCTTTAACCATGCTTACGTTTTACTGTGTCAGCCTTATCAAGGAATAGTTATATCACACCAACACAGCTTTAACCATGCTTATGTTTCAATGTATCAGCCTTATCAAGGAATAGTTATATCACACCAACACAGCTTTAAGAGTCAAACATGGCCGATACTTAGGAAGCGTCAGTAAGATAAGAAGTATGATCTTGATTTCCAGACCGGTTTATACGGTTTTCCTTGCTATTTCTGTGAGATTAGTACCCAAACATATTTTAATTTGTTATTCTTAAATGACCTGTTAAGTCTCTCACCAAAACTAATGAAGAATCTATGTTTAATTATACACTTACTCTCCAGGTAAGATGTTCATAGAAGTCATGCTTCCGATGGTTATTCCTTTACTAGTATACTTTTCAAAATCAAATGGAACAAAGTATATGTTTTCCTTTCCTTTGATTATCAGAGTGGAATTCACTGTTGGTTGTAGTTTTAGGTTTTTGTGCAGTATGAAGAAAAATTGTATATTAGCAGTGCCAGTTTCAGACGTTCTCAGGGGATCTTCGAGCTGTTGGAAGTTTAGAGAAGAGTTATAAAATTAGACAACCGAGTTCTTGTAACTTTTAACGGAGAGTCACCAGAAATAACTAAACATTACGCGTATTTTTCACTAGCTATATAATTTAAAAGTTTACTCCGAACGTTCATCATTAATAGGAACGTATCTGGCTTCAAATTTTATGAAGCAAAACTCCTGGATCTAAAATCAAATCAAAGATGCTATGTACAAGGAAATATTGAAAATGATCAAAGGAAATATGTATAATTAGAACATAATCTAAAAACTAGAATTGCTTTATAAACTCGAAATTCATTCTTTAAAAAAAAAAGAGTTTAAAATACAAAAGCCATGACTTGGTATTCATGATCTCGAATTTTGGAAAGACACAACTTAAGCTGTAGAAAAGACGACATTTTAAATCTGGCGTTAGCATTATGATGCTGGATTTTAGAGAACCGAAACTTACCCTAAAATACAGTATTTCTGTTTGACATCATCAATAGAATACTGTATAGAAAGGACATACCTTATTATAAAAATACAATACATTTAGTGTCATGTAACTAAAATGTTCTTGATTATTAGAACATCATACTCTTTCTCTTACAAACAGCATTTTAAGTAAGCACAAATCTACACAATGCGTTGTCTGTGCTGTAACCATCACGAGTATCGAAATCCAGTATCTAGCGTAGCAACCTGTTAGACTTACCGCTGAGTCACTGGAAGGTAAGTGTGTTCTAGTTTGTTTTTTGTTTTTTAATTTCGCACAAAGCTACACGAGGGCTATCTGCGCTAGACGTCCCAAATTTAACAGTGTAAGACTAGAGGGAAGGCAGCTAGTCATCACCACTCACCGCCAACTCTTGGGCTACTCTTTTTACCAACGAATAGTGGGACTGACCGTCACATTATAACGCCCCCACGGCTGAAAGGACGAGCATGTTTGGTGCGATGGGGATTCGAACCCTCGACCCGCAGTGTGCGAGTGGAGTTCCCTAACCACCTGCCCATGCCGGGCAAAAGTGTGTTCTAACTAGAATGTTGTTTTTTTCAATGTTAGAAAGCCAAAACTTGTTCTATTACAAACAATATTTTAAGTCTGATATAACCAAAATTACCATAATATTTTTCAAGATCGAAAGTCGCAGCTTACATTTTTAAGAACAATATTTCCAGAATTTGAGGTGACCATCATTGTTTGTATCTTTCCGCTAGCCAAAGTTACATTGTAATCCTCCGCTTTAGTCAAGTTACCACACCCATCAGCAGCGAAAGAGATTCTGTAAGTTTTGTCGGCCTCCAAGTTTTCTAAAACATGAACCTGTAATGAGAACGTGGTGTGTTAGGAACACCACATGTGTAAAACATGAACCTGTAATGAGAACGTGATGTGTTAGGAAGACCACATGTGTAAAACATGAATCTGTAATGAGAACGTGGTGTGTTAGGAAGACCACATGTGGTGTGTTAGAAAGACCACATGTGTGAAACATGAACCTGTAATGAGAACGTGGTGTGTTAGGAAAACCACATGTGTAAAACATGAACCTGTAATGAGAACGTTGTATGTTAGGAAGACCACATGTGTAAAACACGAACCTGTATTGAGATCGTGGTATGTCAGTAAGACCACATGTGTAAAACACGAACCTGTAATGAAATTGTGGTATGCCAATAAGATCACATGTGTAAGATAAGAACCTGTAATGAGAACGTCAGTAAGACCACGTGTGTAAAACACGAACCTGTAATGAGAACGTGGTGTGTCAATAAGACCACATGTGAGTCGATAGTTAAATCCTTCATTTCTGTATTTATAATTCAGTGTAGATTTTCCTAATTACAAAAACGCGTATCTCTGCTTCGATTATTTTACTAATTCGTTTCGATTATTTTCAGGTTATCTAATTAAACTACACCGAATATTCTCTTTATGAATAAATGTGATCTTTGTTTTTATCTGAATATTTCATAAACTTCACCTTAGAATTACGAAGGTTGTGCTAGTTCGGGAAATAATTGAAATATTAAATGTCTTTTTTCGCATTTTTATTTTTTAAAAAAGTAGTAAAAATGTCAATGTATTACAGTCTAACTTACCTAACTTTAATACAGTCAATTTTACCTAGAGTAGCTACCGAATGTGCACACTTAGAATTTCACCACGAAAAAAGAAACGTTAAAAATTATATATCATAACACCATTTTGTAGATGGCGCACAAGCTTAAGTGATACATTACAATACACAATATTCCATACAATATTCAGCAATTATTATAGAAATATTCAGCAATTATTATATATTATAGAAATATTCAGCCATTATTATAGAAATATTCAGCAATTATTATAGAAATATTCTACCCCACCTCGCCAGACTCCAGTGTGATATTTCTAAGACCAGTAAGGTTAAGATGACAAGGCAGTGTATTAATGATTCCGAACTGGCTAAACCCTGCAGTTGGAGTTTGAGGAAGAGAGTTCTGTAAGTAAATACATCATGATTACTAAAAGGATCAGCACGACGAATGTAACAAATCAACTTATTTACAAATACACAAGCACTTTTCTCGACGTTAATATATATATATATATATATATTTGCGTGCTTTCGGCCCACTTGCTAGATCCTTCATCGGGCAACAATGTTCTCAGCAATACAAATTCGTTCGTCAATCCTTATCGTTGATAAACGAATTTGTATAGTTCAGTGCATTGTTGCCCGAAGAAGGCCGAAAGCTCGCAAATAAAAGTATGTTAACGTATAAAAAAGTTCGTGTATAATTCTAAATATTAATTTACTTACGTCATGAGTGTTAAACAACAAATCAATGTATTGGTAATGTTAAGATTACTGAACTCTGATTCGATTTTTTATGAATTAATAATTTTGTTTTAGTAATTCAGTGTCATCAAAAATGATACAAGTTCTAGGATTTTTTTGGACATTCTAGAATAGATATAAGCCTCGAAATTATTGTAAGTCAGATAATTCGGAGAATCATTATTAATTGTAAATAGTTATTCTGTGTACGTAAAGATATTCATGACGCATTACCTTTAAATATACATTCTCATTATATAGCTAATTTTTGTAATTATTTGATTTTGATTCAAAAACTAAATTTTCAGTAAGGCTTAGCTGAGTCATTAAAATGTTAATTTATTTTTAATTTTGTTTATGAGTTAATACTCAACTGTGGTGTATGTGAGATGACAAATGTTAACCTGAAGATCACCTAAGAAGGTCGGAACGTTGTTCTTGTACTTTATTTTAATTAAAGTTTATAATACCCATACCAGCCGTCTGTGCTATACATTTTTAGGCTTAACTCTCATCATGTACGGATAGAATAAGACGAGTTATATCGTCTTTTCCAGAATTGTCCTTATTTTTGATACAGTGTTGTAGCATTTAAATAATTGGACATTATTATCAATTGTACTCAAGTTCCATGACGTATAAAGTTAAAAACATATCAGTATAATAATTAATAGTTATGGACTCTAATAGATCAGTGTTTACCAACCTTTTTCACCGCAGCGTCCCTTTCAGCAAACAATGGGTGCTTATGTTCCTGTCTAATAACTTTTTAGACCACTAAAATATTTTACAAAATTGAAAATTGTAAGGCAATAAGAGTCAATTCTTATATTTTAATTTTAACAAACCTTCAAAACTTTTCTGTCCACCCCCTGCCGCTCCTCAAAGTTTACTTCACCTTACTTTTAAAATTCCCACTAGAGGGCGTTACCGCCCAGGTTAGGAAACGCTGATATAGATAAACATTTTGTATATATGAATACATGTGAAGTAACAGCACAGTGAAATTCGTTAGGTTATACAGAAAATTAATCTATTCTGGACTAACACGAACACAAAGGTCAGAGTAAATATGATGTAATTTATTATAAAATAAACGAGAAATTAAGAAAAAAAATGTATCGTGAAATTAAACACCTCAATTCTTATTTGTAGAAAGCCAGCGATGAAAAAAGAAGAAGCGGCTAGAAGGCCACCTGTAGTGATTCTCTGGAGAGGCCTATAATTAGAAAAAATGAAATAAAAACAGATTTGTGAATTCCATTTAATTCCCAGATGGAAAACATGTTTTTAATTTTAGAAGCTACGTAGAATAGATAGTAATTATTATAATTGTAATCCCTAAATCACAATATAAGGTGATTAAACACAGTAAATTCTACACTTATGAATGCTTATCAATTGGTTATATGCTTAAATTCTATTCTAACTAAATAAAAATATAAAAAACTGACAGTCTAAAACAGCACGGAAGTATAATATTTCGGCTTATCCTCTCCTATCTGTTTTATTTTACTTTTTAACTTAACTTATCTGCATATCTTGTGTATAGAGAATTAAATTGGTTCTATACGATAAAACAAAAGTTAAAACCGCGTAATAAATACTACAATGAAAATAGTAAAGCAGTTCTTATACGATCATAATTTATTGTATGATACTATATATTTTATTTCTAACATAATGTTGTAACATACAAATATAATGAAAAAAAATTACATAAAGTTTTGTGATTCGGTAAAAAATTTAAATTTCCGGAAAAAGTAACCGAATGTCACTGATACTCATATATATATATATACCTTTTCTTTTATATATTGTATAAATTTAGTTTTCAAGGTAATAATAAAGTGCCCTCTTTTGACAGTTTTGATCACTATAACCCATCTTATCCATTAATTAGACAAGCCTCCTTATGGCTTAACGGTAAGTCTGAGAGGCTTATAACGCTAAAAGTCAAGTATCGATAATCATGGTGGACAGAGCACAGATAGCCCTTGTGTAGCTTTGCGCAATCAACAACAAACAAAACAACAGTTTGACGTAAGCAATTAGTATATAACTAAATACTGGCTATTTCATATCCATAGTATCAATTTTTAATAACGTCAGTGTTCAGCAAACTATAGAATTGGGCCCTGAGTTGATAAATTGTCGGGCTAATTATGACAAATACGTTTCTTTAATCTTGACCATTTTTGAAACGGTTCATATTAATCATAGGAGACTGACTTCCTCATTATCTTATATTGTAACACTTATAAAACGGATGTAAACTATGAAGCCCTATTCCGGTAATTCCTTCGAGTTTATACGTAGGCTTAAACACAATAACAACTTTTATTGGAATACCGTTACGTCTTCTATGTGTTCTGACGGTTAAATACCAAAACTAATGAGATTGAGTTCTTACCTAGTTAAGCAATTAAATTTTGCCAATACAGGATAAATAATGTACTCGAACATAGGAATGAAGATAACAATCAGGAGAGGGTTAATAACCTGCATCTGGTCTGGCTTAATTGAATATTGTCCCTGTAAATATAAACAACAACAAAATAACTAGATGTCGTCTAAATCACAAAATTTTTAAATATAGTGATAACTAACTTCTCAAGTGAACCGTCCCCTACTGTCTGCATGCTCACGATGCTAAAAATCAGGTTTCGATACTCGTGGTGGGCAGAGCATGGATAGCCCATTGCGTAGCTTTGTGTTTAACAACAACCAACCAACTAGCTCTCGTGTGGATTACTAATTTCCACTGTAATCACCAAGCTGCCTTCAAACAGTGTTAACATCAACTATTTGGGTTTGAAGTGAATTACTAATATTCACTATAATTACCAAGCTGCCTCCAAACAGTGTTAATAACAACCATTCGGATTTCAAGTGAATTAATAATATTCACTATAATCACCAAGCTGCCTTCAAACAGTGGTAACATCAACCATTCGGATTTCAAGTGAATTAATAATATTCATTATAATCACCAAGCTGCTCTTAAAAAAATCTTAACAACAAACAACTAACCAAACAGGTCTCAAGGAAATTACAAATCAGAGAGTGCGCTAGCTCTCCCTATGTAGGGATGGCACGGACTTCCGTATTAAAATAATACAAAAGACATCTGGATTTTCTTCTCTACAGGTCATCAGAAGCTAGATATAAAGAAGTACCTGGCATAGTCGCTCTATCTCCGGTGTATGTGCCGCTTTTCAGCTATCCAGAGCGTCACACACAACTGCATTATCTTATTGGAATGTCAACACGCACAACTGCATTATCTTAGTGGAATGTCAACACGCACAACTGCATTATCTTATTGGAATGTCAACACGCACAACTGCGTTATCTTATTGGAATGTTAACACACACACAACTGCATTATCTTATTGGAATGTCAACACGCACACCTGCATTATCTTACTGAAATGTCAACACGCACAACTGCATTATCCTATTGAAATGTCAACACGCACAACTGCATTATCTTACTGGAATGTCAACACGCACAACTGCATTATCTTACTGGAATGTCAACACGCACAACTGCATTATCCTATTGGAATGTCAACATGCACAACTACATTATCTTATTGGAATGTCAACGCGACATTTCTAACACACCTCCATGATATCAAGCTGACTTTGTTATTGGATCATTCTTTCCTGAATAACTATCAGGATCTGCACAGTCACATACAATCCTCACAATTAATTTAATTCCCACACTGTAGCAACACAATGTAATAGATAGTATGGTTTTCGTGCAGTATGGTACCATCCGAATATCGGTAACCAGGTGAAACAAGTAGAAACGTGTAGTAATACTTCAAGCACAGAACTATTCGTCATCAGTTTCCTTATGAATGGCCACCTCGTTCGGTCGACGGTTTCTATCATTGGGTGGACTATTTTGGATTATTCGGTAAAAACATTGAAAAGTCCAGTCCACTTCATGAAAAATCAAACACTTTGTTTCGTTTGCTAAATGTTACATAGATACTACATAATCTAAATGTTCGCAGTAAAGGTCTAGCTTTACAATTTACAGTATAAACAGTACGACTATAGTCTCACTAAATGATTTACTCTAGCACATAATTCTCCCACTTGACTCACATCTTAAACTGTTAAACACTCAGGAAACTCCAACACGTCACGCCAAAACTCCATTAAGTAATAATATAGTTGTCACTATTAAAATATTAAGAAATAGTTCACTAAAATAACTTTGTAGAGCAGAACGCTCGGAAGATTGATGAGTATTTTGTTTTCTGTATGTTTATTGTAGTATTTCTGAGTTAACAGAACGCAAAGGTTTCAATATTCCATTGATCCCCGTCACACCAGACATGCTCGCCCTTTCAGCCGTGGGGGCGTTATAAAGTTGCGGTCAATCCCACTATT